GGAAGTCATTGATAGTATCTCAGTGAATGAATACTCTGAGGCTAGAGCAATAGCTCGGGGTAAATGGACAGCCCAGTACAAAGGCCTTCACTCATTTTTTTTCTCCATTATTAAGGTATGCTTCTCCATAACTTTTCTTCCAGAGGTGATTTTCATACTTCTGTTGCATATATAATTTTATTACAATTCTCCCCTATCTCACTATCCCAGATTTTATCTTATCCTACTGTATTTTCATCTCTACTTGTTCAACCCTAAGGCTTTCTGCTTTTGTTATATAGAAGTTATTTCTTCTTGCAGCCTACTGAGGGTCTTGTCCAATAAGAAATTACTCTCAAAAATCTGGTCCTCTGAGACTTCTGGTGAAGCTTCCTTCTTTTTTTTTTTTTTTTTTGTAGCTCTGTTTCATAGTCTCCAACTTGGTCTCTTCCTGGGGAACTTCGTAACACACAGAGTGTGTCAGCAGCCTGTGATCTCTCCTACTGACCATCTGGATAACGGCTAACAGCCCCACCACCTAACACCCAGGACTTGTTAGGCTTTCATCTAGCACAGCTCTGCTGGCCTGAGAGGAATGTTCACTCACACTGCCTGGCTGTTTCGTTCTCTGAATGGAGAAAGTGTAGGGAACATTGCCTTCTCCACCAGGCTTACTGTCGAGGCTTACAGCGGAGACTGTCTCCACCACTGCTTATGCCTTCAGCACTTTATTTATGGTGGTATTACAGTACCCAAGTTGGATTCTCCACTGCCCATCTTCGGTTTATTCCCTAGTTAGTTGTTTTCTGTGAGTTGTACACTCCTAGGAGATAGTAAGAAATCATTTCTGAGGAACATGGAGACAGAGGGGCTGCAAGAAGAAAGATAGCACCCAAAGTTTCTCAAAAAATAGAATTCAGCTGAGTGTAGTGGCTCATGCCTGTAATCTTAGCTCTCTGGAAGGCTGAGGCGGGTGGACAGCCCTGAACTCACAGGTTCTGGACCAGCCTGAGCAAGAGTGAGACCCCTGTCTGTAAAATAAATATCCAGGCATTGTGGAAGGCACCTATAGTCCCAGCTACTTAGGAGGGTGGGGCAAGAGAACTGCTTGAGCCCAAGAGTTGGAGGTTGCTGTGAGCTATGATGCCACAGCACTCTACCCAGGGTGACAAAGTGAGACTCAAAAAAAACAAAAATAAAATTCACACAGTTAAACAGAAATGCCTAGTTTTCTTGTTAGTAATAGATCTTATATTTCCAAACCAAAAGACAGAGTATGAAGAGACAAAGAATTTTCTTACCTAAGAGATGAAAAATTTAGGGGGAAAATTTACTCTATTCCTGTGGTACAATAAGTCACTTTCTGTATTTTCTTAATCCAACTGATTAAGCTTGCAATTAGTCAAAGTTCTTCCTACTTTCTAGAAATTGGTTGATGGTCAATCCTAATTTTTTCCTTTTGAATATTCATCTGTCTCTATTTGTATTTATAAGCATTTGAGAAAAAATTGTGACAGTGTATATTAGTAAATGACAATTACCTGGCATTTACTGGCACTTACCTGCTGACTATTACCAAGAATCACTACCATCTCTGAATATTCCCAGAGTATACATGCATGTCTTACAAATGTCTTACCCTTAAAAGGGTTGGAACAGGGCCCGCTCAGAGAATACGAACCCCATAAATTGGATTTCTAGGGTGACTCATTTGATCATGTCTCTGTAACCTTGGAAGACACATAAAAAATTATTGCCTCCATGATGATAAGAATGGGAGAACAAGGAGGTTAATATTTGCTAACACAAAATGTCCCCTAATGCTTCTTTTTACTGTCACAGAATCAAGGGCAGCCAGGAAGCAAAAACCAGCTGAAGATCAAGTGGCTGCCACCTTCCCGGGAGCCCCTGCTGCTGCGTGCTCAGAATCCGCCATAGTGTATCTGAAGGATGTTATGTGCTACCTGTCCCTGCTGGAGACAGGGAGACCCCAGGATAAGCTAGAGTGTAAGTGCTCACCCTGTCAAAGGGCTTCAGCTTTACTTAGAGGAAGATCTGGTGCCCTATGCATCATTCCCAAACACACTGGACATTGATTTGAGGTCAAGGGTCTAGGTCCTGCCTCTCTGGGGAAGATTTCTTTGTCCTCTCACCAGCATCTTTTCCTAGAATCCACCCTATGACACAGTACCACATAAAGTGGGAAAAGCGTCTGAGACCTGGGCATTGAGAATCAGAATTTGGAAAGGGGAAGGAGTCTCATCAAGAGGTCAAGGTCTCATCTAGGGTTGGAGACCCTCTTGCTTTGCTGGCAGGGCTTCCTAAAAGCCTCCAATCAGAAAACTGCTGCCTCCTCTTAATGGACTTTTCAAGAAAGGTAGCCAACATCAGTCTTCCTCCCCTGTTTTATGTCCAAGCAACTTTTTAACTGAGAGCTAATCATCCTCTATCTTGTTAAGGTTTTTTCCAATTCTCCTCCCACCCCACACCCTACTCCAAGCTCTTTGGCCTCCGGAGAAGGAGAGCTAGTTAATTAATGGAGTTGGTGCTACCAAAGTTGGTTTCAAAAACACATCTTCTGGAGGAGAGTAAGAGCTGGTAGCAGAAGGGAAAGTTCATAATGGCTGAAACAGCCAGCCATCTTGTAGATGGCTTAGTGCAGGGAAGGTTTCTCTGGCCCCTGTGAGCCTACAGGCACCCTTTTTAAAATAGAAGATGGTAGAACCTTTTTAAATAAATTGTACTGTCTTTGTTTCTGCTGGGAACTTAAGCAAAGAAAAATATACACATTATACTAAAAGTCGAAATTCCAGTTCGTAAGACTAGTCAACAACACTTAAACATTAGCAAGGCAAACCTGCCAAAGGTTAACTCTTGCAAAAAGCAAATTAAACAGTTTGTTCATTAGCTAAGCTTAAAATCTTCCCCATTGCCAGGTGTGGTGGCTCACGCCTGTAATCCTAACACTCTAGGAGACCAAGGTGAGTAGATCACTTGAGCTCAAAAGTTGGAGACCAACTCTGAGCCAGAGCAAGACCTCTTCTCTAAAAATAGCTGGACATTATGGCAGGTGCCTGTAGATTATTGTAAGCTATGATGCCATAGCACTTTACCAGGACGACAAATTGAGACTCTGTCTCAAAAAAACTCCCCTATAGGTTTGAGGTATTAATAATTCCAAGTCTTAAGTGCCAATTTGTAGCAAATGTAGCAGATTTCTGTTTTCTTCTGGCTAATGTTCAAAGAGAAATGTCAAATCATTCCCAAAATATAGCTGCATTTTTAGTTTTAGACATTATATTAATATTTGTTAATAACCAAATACCAAGAAGAATGTGACAGATTCTTTATATTAGTGACTCTCAGACTGAGTTTGTAATGACAATGAAAAGAAACTTTAAAACTTCTTACTTCAGAATATTTCAAGGATAGTTAATAATTAAATACAAGGAACTTCCATGGCCCCATCACCCAGCTTCAATAATTATAACTCACAGTCAATCTTACAGCATTTACACCTCACACCTATATTCCCTCTGCCTCGGAAGTAAATTCCAGGCATCATATAATTTTATCTGTAAGTAGTTTGGTATACACTTCTACTGACAACAAACCCTTCTTCTTAAATATAACTTCAACACGATTATCACGTCTAAAGAAAATGATTCCTTACTATTATCAAATACTCAATCAACATTCATATGTTTCTGATTACTTTAGAGATTTTTTGTTTGTTTAAATCAGGATCCTAATGAAGCCCATAGATTCCCATTGGTTATTATGTCTCTTTGCTCTCTTAATCTTTTGCTAATTTCTTCCTGTAATTTTTGTTACATAAAATTGATCATTTGTCATGTAGGATTTTCATTTTGGTTGGTTTGACTTTTATTAAACCAAATAAATTTAAATCCTTCCCCTAATTGTAATGATTAAAACAGGTTAAGCTTAGGGCAGTGCCTATGGCTCAAAGGAGTAGGGTGCCTGCCCCATATACTGGAGGTGGCGGATTCAAACCCAGCCCCAACCAAAAACTGCAAAAAAAAAAAAACAAGTTAAGCTTTGCTTTTTAAAAACCAAGCTTTGTTGGCTCAGTGCCCATAGCTCAGTGGTTACAGCATCAGCCACATGCACTGGGGCTGGTGGGCTTGAACCTGGCCTGGGCCTGCTAAACAACAATAACAACTACAACAAGAAAATAGCTGAGCGTTGTGGTGGGTGCCTGTCGTCCCAGCTACTTGGGAGGCTGAGGCAAGAGAATTGCTTAAGCCGAAGAGTCTGAGGTTGCTGTGAGCTATGACACCACAGCACTCTACCGAGGGTGACATAGTGAGACTCTGTCTCAAAAAAAAAGGCTTTGTTTTGTTTTGTTTTGTTTGTTTGTTTGAAATAATATCCTGAAACCCCACCTATTGCCAATGCAATAATAATAACTCTCATCATCAAAAACCTTTTGTTTGCTAAGAACTTTAAATGCTAAAGTTATATTAACCTCATGTTAACCTCGCAACAACCCTAAAAGGATAATAGGATTATTCTCATATTATACATAAGAAAGCATAGGAAGGTTTAAAAAGTTGTCCAAGGCCACACTTCTAAGAAATAGGATTCTTACTCAGGCCTTCCTAGCTGCATTGCTCAGACAGTGCCGGAGAGAGCTCAGCGTTAGAGATCCGTCTAGGTCCAGAGCCCTGGAATGATGCTAGTAGGAAAGGTCCATCCTTCTTTATGTCGTTCGACCATCTGTTGGGTGAGTCAGCAGCATATGCTGAGTGCCTCTGACATTCTGAGTAGTCACAAAGAATCAGAAGCCCCTACTTCTAAAGAGCTTAGACTCCAACCAGGGATCCCCCCCCTGAAAACCACAAGCCTCCAGAAGGAAGTGACAACATGAGGGCAACTCAGCAGGAGCAGTGTGACAAGGTGGGTACGCAGTGAGAGATCGGATGGGTGCAGCAGAGAAGGGCCAGGGGGTGCAGGGTCCACGGAAAAAGCAGGCGTGATGCAGGGTTGTAAAGAACAGAAGGAAACAGAGAGCCGTTTCTCTGTGCTGCCTACACAGCTTGCTTCTGAGACCACAGACAGGATCTTTGTCTTTGGGCTGAATGAAATAAAGGTTTTCAGGTCCCATATATGAAGATTTTGTCCTTTGCCCAAATTTCTCTCCCAGATCTTCCTTGTTCTACATCACCTCCCTGCAGGTAGAACATGACTGAAGATGTTTTTGAACAGCATATTGACGCTTCAGAAAATAATAATAATAATAATAATAATAGCTTCTGTAGTCGTAACTACCTCATAACATCATGAAAGATTAAATGGTAATGATAAAGTGCATAGGACAGTGCCCTGAACATACTAAATGCTATATATAAATGTTTATTAATAAAAAAATAAAAATAAATAACGTCTGTTGAGTGCTTTCTACAATCCAAGCACTGTGAATTTGACATATCATTTATACATTAATTCTCATACTAAGAAACTACTATAATCTCCATTTCACAGATAAGGAAACTGAGCCCAGAGAAATTAAATAACTTGTTGAACACCCCAGAAGTGGTAGGGCAGGGCCAGGATTTAAATCTGCCTACCTCCACACTCTTTCTATACAATAAAAGCAAAGCCCCATCTGTAATTCTGGCACTTCTGTCCCCCCACCAACTGGGCCCTCGCTTTGAGTTGTGTGCTAGTGACGCTGAGAAGTGTGCATGCTCTCCAGGGAATCCTATCTGTGACCTGGATCTCATCAACCACAGAATTATTGTTTAGATAGGTCCAAAAGCCAGGACCTCCTCCCTTGTTCCACCTTCTCTGTAAGGAAGTCTAACTCTGTGCTTAGAGGGAGGGTGAGCTGACTGCACTGGTCAGAGATGGCCAGGACTGATCTAAAACCTTGGCAGCATCAAAACCTCAGCCATCCCTGCTTTCTGGAGGACACTTCAAACCTTATCTCTGTTTCTTGCAGTCATGTTCCGTCTCTATGATTCAGATGAGAACGGTCTCCTGGACCAAGCGGTAAGCTCTAACTCTAAATATCCCTTCTAGGTCTGAGAAAGGGTCAGGGAGTGGGGAACAGAGGGAGGAGGAATCCAAACATTTTCAGTTACTTCTTTGTATGAATAGCAATATCTTAATACTGGCTGCAGAAATCTGCCCTCTATCTCCTGTTTTTAAAGAACCTTGCAGACAATGAATGCCAACTTCCCTTTTCATTCCAGAAGCCCAGGAGCATAAAATCTCAGAATGGGGAGGTGCTTTAGTTTTTCATCCAGCTTAAAGTCCCCATCAGTTGACAAACTTCCTTGCAGTTTCCTGCTGGATCCCCGGGGCCAAGGGGAGGACTGTGGAAGAGGCAACAAGAGCAGGAAGAAGAGCAAGGGAAATTACTGGTCACTGCTGGTGTGGTCTGGCATCACCCCTGGTCTCCTCTCATACTCCAGGGCACAAGCCCAAGAGTCTGGTCTGTCTGCTTTGAGTACATGACCCCATCCCATTCATCTGGGAAAGCCTGAGGCTCGCCCCCAGTAATTCAGGAATAGTCAGGGCCCATGGAGTGAGAGGGGGAATGGAAAAGGAGAAGGTAAACCCGGTCAGAGAGGCTTGTGGTCATGACTGGCAACATCAGAGACAGGGCTCATTAATGGGACAGGCCTGAGGTTGACATGTGTGAGTCTGAGTCAGACTAGAGGAGAGAGGAAAGGGAACAAGTTCCCTCCACTAGACCAACTGAATCATCCCAACCTCCTCGAAACCACTGGGCACCTTTACAGGATCCCACCAGCCACACTGCAATGCTGTGGGTTGTCTCCTTTGAAGGAACTAGCAGAGAATCACAGAATCTCAACATTTGGTCAACGCATATTTACTGAATGTCTATCGGGATGTCTAGCCTTTTGGCTTCTCTGCACCTCATGGGAAGAAGTTGTCTCAGGCCATACACTAAATACACAAACACTAACAAAAGCTGACGAGAAAATAAAAAAAGGTCTATGCATAATTTTTGTGGTATCTGCCACCACAGGTAAGCAAAAGGTCCTCACATAATCCTCATGTGGCCCATGGGCCACAGGTTGGACACCCCTGGATGCTCTCCTAAGCATAGGGGTACACCAGCAGAGCCAACTGTCAGCACTCCATGCCCTCCTGAGGCTTTCCTTTCAGCCCAACCATAGGTGCTAATTAGCATAGTAAAATGTGAGTTAAGTGGAACCGGGTCCCAAGAAGGAAAATAAAGGAGGAAAGGAAGCATCGGAAGGAGTTGTGGCTTCAGCTCGGACAGCCAAGGAAGGCCCCACAAGGGGCATCTGAACAGACTTGAAGGAGGGGAGAGAGTATGTCGTGGTTGGGCAGGTGACAGCTGAGGGAAGAGCCTTCCAGGAGAGGGAACAGCCAGCGCACAGGTCCTGAGGGGTGCCTGGGGTGCTAGAGGATTACAAGAGTCAATGGGAACAGAGCAGAATGAGCACATGGATGAGCTCAGAATGAGGAAGCAATAGGAGATGAGATCAGAGAAGTTATAGGGTATGGAAGAGGCAGGTGGGGAGCGTCCAAAGTATAGTAAGCCTTATAGAGGATTAACGGGGCTTATCTTTTACTCCAGAGAAATGGAGAAGCATTGAAGGCTTTGAGCAAAGAAGTGACATGATTGACTCATGTTTTAACAGAATCATTCTAGCTGCTGGGCAGGTTAGACTGTAAAGATGCAAACGAGGACACCAGTTAGAAAGCTATTGACAAAATCAAGGCATGAAATGGTGGTGACCTTGCACAGGGTGGGAACCACTGAAGGGGGTGAGAAGGGATTGCGTTCCACTGGTAGCATGGGTGGACCAAAGCAAATCTCAAAATAGCAAAACAGTTATACAATTTAACTTCCTACCCAGAATCCTGGGTGGACAAACTCCCAGGCTCTTTTTGAGCTCTCCCAGCAATGCAGAGGTCGCCCACCACCTGAGACAGCCATTCCACTCCGAGAGAGGCTTCCTTCCTGCACACAAGACACCTCTCTGTTTGCCAGGGAAGGGTTTTCAAAACAAAGCAGCTTTGGCTGACTCCTCCCTCTCCCCCACCCCAGCGGAGAGTCCAAAATAAGCCAACCCTCAATTCCTCCCTTCCCCCTATCCCTGGGCTTCCTTCTGCCCACCTCTGCACCTGATCAGGATAAGTGGAATAATAATTGTACATGATAGGCCTTCAAGTATTTGAAGATGTTATCACATCTCCCCTAAAATCTCTAAGCTAAAGTTCCCCAGTTCCTGCACTGGGTATCATAAGGCAGGCTTCAATATCCACTCTGGACAAGCTCTTGTTTGTCAATGTTGTTCTAAAAATAAGGCACAGAGCAGAGCCCACCCCTCCATCCTCCAAATTGCCCACTGTGGCATAACCAGGGTAGACCTTTGGGGTACTAGTTCTTCCTGAAACCTGCCCACTGCTTCTGTTTACATAGCCCAAGACCAAGTCTAAATCTCAGTTCCTGTATCACATTTTTTCACTGAATCTTGGACTCAACTAGATTCATAAGCTCTTTTCCTCTGGAAGTGCTGCCAAGCCCTGTCCCCACCTTTCTCCCCCATCTACTGTCCCATCCTGTAGCTTTGCAATAGATTACTTTTTAATTTAAATGAAATGTAATTTTTAAAATCCCTGTTGGGTTTTAGCTTGTTTTGACCCAGAATTCTACCTCATGGAGGTCACATTTTCGAATCTTGTTGCAGTCCATCTACGCGTCCTTTCAAAGCAATCTCACTGTGAACATCTCAGATGTTGCCCAGTGACGTTCACTTTGACACCACATGCCTCCTCAGTCCTGTGTGTTTCAATGGGGCTCTCATACCCTGACTCTTTAGCATCCAACAAGTCTGTGAGGTTTCATTTTTAATATAATCATTCTTCTGTTTTGAGCATTTAATTTGCTTTTACATAGCCGGATTAGAAACAATGCTGTGATGAACATCTGCATTACACAACCCTTCCTAGATATTGTATTGTTTCTCTTTTTTAATTTCAGATCAATATGAGGGTACAAATGTTTCAAGCTGTAGTTGAGGCCTTCACCCAGAGGTGTGCTGAACACCTTCACATTGTGCACATGAGGTGAGAACCCACCAATCACCTGGCCATGGTATTAAAAAGCTCACTGATCAGGCAAATGCATCTGTCATGAATGTCCTGTTCATGGACAGCTGGGCTCAGGGCTAGACCATGGCGCAAAGGAAACAGAAGATGCCAGAAGGAATCTAACTCATGGTGCCAGAGCTAGGGCTAATACAGTAACCCTCCACCCAAGGGAAATGGACCCCTGAAGGGGTACAAGTTGCTAACACTGTGGAGAAGAGGAGTGACAGGAAGGGGGAGAAGAGACTGCCTTGGTTTGTAAGTTTGTGGAACTACAATCACAAAGAAGGATAAAAGAGGAGGGCTTCCTACACTTTCCAAGTTGATGTACAGAATAGGGGAAGGGAAGTGTGCCCAGGGGGATCCAGGAGGTCAGTGTTCAGCAAGTTTTCTGCATCCCTCTGACTTGTCTATCCTCGTGCTTCTTGTGGGCTTGTGTCCACTGAGCTTTGTGGTCAAGGCAGAAACACCCATGAGCTCCTCCTGAAATGCCGGGGTATTGCACGAGCTTCTTTTCATGCTCTGCCCTGCCTATCCTCCCCCTGGGTTTGATTGGGAGTTTTGCTCTTGATGATACATCTTTTGTTGTCTCTCCTTGACATTCTCTCCCCTGATACTTTCTAGGAGATGGATCTCATTGTCAACCAAATGCTGCATGTCGCCCAGTACCTGGAGTGGGATCCCACAGAACTCAGGCCTGTGAGTGTCCATAAGGTTGGGGCAACTTAGGGGTGAGTGTCTCAGATGCGGATGGGTCACACTCAGGATGTGGATGCAAATGCTCCCCGTGCAGGGTCTCCCAGCGTCATCTTCTCACAGGCAGCTTCTCTGGGGGCCCCTCCCACTTCTCTGCTAGGGAAGATGTAGGCAGCACGGACGACATAGAAAAACAATCCTCCTAAACTTTTCACCAGAATGCACATATCAAAGAATTTAGACCTAGAGAGAAGTTGAGAGATTCTTCTGAATCACCAGATAATATTAATAATTACATTTGGGGGCTTCTATGTTCAGTTGTTATATATTAGATAATTTATATATTTTATTTTTATTTCAGGTTAATGTGAGGGAGCAAACAACCAAATCACAATATTTGAATTTGTTAGGTAGAGTCCCCTTGTAGCCATGTCCTGCACTCAGAAGGTGTGCCATACACTCCTACCTTGTGCCCACTCAGTGGGGGCACCCCAAACTCCCTTTCCCCTTCACTTGTTCCCCCCTCCCCAAATTGAATTGAAATGACGTTTTCCTCCTATGTGGGTGTGAATTAGATCATCTACTAGCTTCACATTAGTATTGAGTTCATTGGATATTTTTGTGATACTTTACTGAGAAGAATGTGTTTCAACTCCATCCAGGTAATCACAAAAGATGTGAAGTCACCGTCTTTTTATAGCTGAATAATATTCCATGGTATACACAGATTATTAACCCATTCTGAGTTGATGGGCATTTAGGTTTTTTCTAGACAATGCATATTCATTTTATCTAATCCTCACAACAGTACTGCAAATATAACCATATCATATCCATTTTTACTGATGAGCAAACCAGGACCCAGAGAGTTAGGGTGACCAGCCTAACTCCAGGGCAGAGCTGGACCTAGAAGCATGGCCTCCCTCCCTGCTCTTAACAAGACAGGAAAAGGGCAAAACAAAAACCAAATAATACAAGACAAAGAGAAAGCAGAGGGTGAAAGGGAAGTAGAAGAGTTGACATTGAAAATGGACAATTGCTATTCTTTGGACCCCACAGATCTTGAAAGAGATGTTGCACACAATGGACTATGACCAGGACGGATTTGTGTCACTACAGGAATGGGTCCATGGAGGGATGACCACCATCCCATTGCTGGTCCTCATGGGCATGGATGACTCTGTAAGTCAAAGCTGGAGTTCAGAGATTCTTGCCATTCAGAAACATTGGCTCCCTGGTAATGTCTATATGTCTCCCTGGCCTCTGCCCAGGCTTCCCAATGGACACACCTACATCCTAGGCCAGCCCCGAAGTCCTCTCAATTCTCATCCCTTTTTCTAGCTACTAGTGTCTAAAATATAGTCATTCATTCAACAGACAGTTAGACATTTACTAAATTATTACTAAATAAAATATACAATTCTGCCTGCTGTAAGAGAGCAGATACAATATTTGCCTGCAAGAAACTTAACCAGGCAAAGGGCAGACAAAAAAAAAATTCAAAGAACTCCATGTTTTGAACGAATTAAGTTTAAAAATCCTGAGAGAACTGGGGAAGGAAAGAAAAAAGGAAAGGAAGGAAGAAATGAGGGAGAGAAGGAAAGAAGAAAAAATACTGATCTCTTGGGGGGATCTTACATGAATGATTATATAAAAATCAAAACAACTAGATTAAGTAAGTGTTTTTATCCCAGCTTATATAGATGGAAAACTGAAGTTCTGAGCCTAAGGAGCAAAAGGAGGCAGCAGGATCTGTTCCTGACTCCAAAATGCTTCACTTTCTAACCTCCCCCACCTGACAGTTGGAGTTAGCCCAGTGGAAGGAACCTTGGAGGGTGCTTGTTATCACTGAAGAACGTTTGAAATTTTGATATTCCATTCTTGAGAATAAAGATCAGGTGGAAAGATCTAAGAGGATTTTGATCTAGCTTTCAAGGATGGATAGGACTTGGCTGGCAGAACGTGATAGTAGAGAAATTTTGTGGCTCGGAGAACAGCTTGATCGAAAACTCAAATGAAAGAAAGTTCAGGGAGTGTTAGAGAAATCTCCCAGTTTGATCAGAGTAGGGATACGTGTAAACACTAAATGTGAAATCAGTGGGTACGTGTGCCTGTGTCTGAGCCACTCAGTTACTGCGTTTTCTGCTTATTTACATGTGAACCAACTTCCGTACATAAGCTAAGAAAGATTGGACTGGCAGAAGCACAAATGATGGCATTAAGCATTTACCCAGACAGTCACACAGGTTGTGCGACAACTCTTTGAGATTACAGAAGTGTCACAGAGAGGAGCAGAGCAGGAAGTGCAGCTGGGCCAGCCTCCCGCTGACAGGCGTTGCCTATGACATTTGCATCTGGCAGTTCTGCAATTCGAGACTAAAGCTGAGCCTTCATTTCCAAAGCCCAAGAACTAAGAATTCTGCCATCATGTCACAGAATGTCCAATTCCTCCCAAGTACTTAGTAGAAATCAGGGAACCAGAATCTGTACAACTCCCGTCTTATTCCTTAGAACCCAGAAAGTCAGAACTGGAAAAAAACTTTGTGATTACAAAGACCTTTGTGATCCCTGGCCTGACTCTGTCCCCTTTACGTCACAAACTGAGGGCCCAGAGAGGTAAAGGGAATTGCTCAAGGACAAACACCAAATTAGTACCAGAGGCCACCCACACATTCAGTAACATCACCCCCCTTGCTCAATAATTCCCTGCTAAGAAGCTACATGTCTATCCCCTCAATATTCTCTCCAGTGTCTTCCACAGATGCAAAATCAGCCTTGTAGAAAACTGCAATTTACATCAGGAAAGTGGCAAATGAAAAGCAAATGCAAATTTAGTTTTTATTAATCAGAAGGTTTATGCATTTGTTTTAAAATATGTACTATGTTTTTAACATTTACCGTTGGGGTTTTGGAGAAAGCCCCCATCAACGTCTTAAAAGTCTTACTGTTTGTTTGGTTTTTCCAAAATCTACTTAGAACCACTGAAAAGTCTGAGGAATCTCTGAATGGGATATATGCAAAACTATCTGTCTCTTGGTGAAACTGTAGCAGCAGTTAAAAACCTGGCCTGGGTGATGAAGGTTACGCCCCACGTTCTGCAGCCTCCATTGTACAGAAAGGAAAGAGCCACATGATGGTGCTATAACCCAAGCAGAAATGTCACCTTAGTCTGTCATGGTCTATTTGCTTCTTATCTTGAGTTTACAAAAATAATAGCTGAGAAAGAGGGGGTTCACTAATTGACTTAGCAATATTTTCAGATAAAAAGATTGTCCTCTGAGCTACATAAAGAAGCTGTATCTTCTTAAGAGGACTGTAATTTCTCATCTGTTCATATAGGAAGACTCTAGCCAGGGATGGAAGGAGCATGAGGTCTGGGGCCAGCAAGACCCCCCAGCTGAGTTGTTTATTGTCTGTGAGGTCTTGGGCTAGTTATATAACTTATCTGAATCTCCATTTCTCATTCCAGAATAGGAATACATCCACCGCCTTACATGTAAATAAATACTCTAGTTATTTTTGTGGCCCCAGCACCTGGTACAGAGTAGGAACTTAATACATTTTAGTTGACAATGTGTTAGGCACTGAATTCAGGGGCCTCCCTTACACGATCTCATTTCAATCTTGTGAAAATCCCTGGAGGTAGATGTTTGTAAAATGAAGGAATCAATCAGTCTTTTGATGAAGCATTATTCATTTGTGAAGCTATTTACCAAAGTGGAATTTGTTTACTAAACCTTCAGATAAAAGGGTTTTAGTTCTATAAAAGTCACGGCTTGGAAGAAGCAGGATTTTGAGATAATGGGAAGAAAAGAGCTTAACCGGACCTAGAGGAGGAGGCCAGCATTTGGAAAAGAATGCAGGCTCTTCTGAAGATCACAAGCTGGACCTGGGTGTAACACCAGGGCTGACCGCAGTAACCAGGCCAAAGGCAGGGGTGCCTCCGAAGTAGGAACTGCATTTGAGTCAGGCACATTGGACTTAATGTCCCTGACCATGTCCCTGTCCCCTCATCACCTTACTACGGTAGCTTTTACTGCTCAAAACCAGCCCAAGGAGCCTGTGGGAAAGGGTCAAGTATAGCAAAGTCCAGGAGAAACATCTCTGAAGCCACAGCCTCCAGTCAGGCGGTACTCCCCTATGGACTGGGGAATGTGGCATTCTGGGGGAGGTGTGTGATTATGTGAGGCTTGGCGTACCTGTTGAGCGAGGAGATCTTCACTTCAGAGCCAGATCAGGAGGAAATGGTGTGACCCTCTCTCTGTCTCTGTCTTTTTACTTCTTGATCTGTGCACAGACAGTTGGTAGGAGTACATTGTTTTTACAGAACTATCTCTTCTTGATTATGACGCTAGTGCATATTCATTGTAGAAAAATTAGAACATACAGAAGAAAGGAGAAATTATAGAATAAAATAAATCCATAATGCTGCCAGCCATAGCTAACCTCTGTTAACAAGTAGTAAAATGTCTTCCCAACAAAGATCTCATGATATAAAACTGAGATCTGAACATATTGTCAAATTTGCACAATGCTTTTTTCACTTAGTGTTCTATCAGGAGCAATTCCCATGCCATTAGATTATTCTCATAAATATGGTTTTGATTGCCACCTCACATGAAGTCATATAGATATACCACAATGCACCTTTTGGTAATTTCAAGACCTTTAGGATATTTCAAGTTTTTCGTTATTTTAAATAATGTTGGGTTAAGTGTCTAACAGAACACAAAAATGCTCATCTATCTTTTAAAAATTATTTCATTAGGATTTCTTTAGGTGTCCAAGAAGAGAAATTTGTAAGTCAAAGGTTGTAAACACTTAAAGGATCTTAAGTTGGAAAGATGCTGTAGATGGATAGAGGGAGAGGGGGAGGGGGGAGAGAGAGAGAGGACCGTTGTTCCCATTTCCACCTTTGCCACACATGCAGCAGAGGTTTATTTTATCTTACACATACATACCCCCCACAGAGTGGTCCTTGTTTTTAATATTTGATAATTTTTAATTATGGATTATTTTGATTTTTAATATTTGATAATTTTTAAATTACTGATTATTATTTTGATTTGTATATAAAACAGTAAAAAAGTAAGAGTTTCTTGTCTTCCAAATATGAGAAGTGGGTCATATTTAGAAAGGGGAAGGACATGTGAGAGGCAGCCTGGCCTTCACTGGTGAGGGGCTGCTGGCTCAGGGTCTCATTCCCCCTACGCCTGCAGGGCTCCAAGGGGGACGGGAGGCACGTCTGGACCATGAAGCATTTCAAGAAACCGACCTACTGCAGCTTCTGCCACATCATGCTGATGGGTGTCCGGAAGCAAGGCCTGTGTTGCACTTGTGAGTAACTGACCTGTGAACCCCTTTCCCCCAGGCGCTAGCTTGTTCTGCATTGGTTAAGCCAGTCCAGGGAAGTTCTGGGCCAGCAGTTCTCAATCTGTGGGTCACAATCCTGCATATCAGATACTTACATTACAATTCATAATAGTAGCAAAATTACAGTTATGAAGTAGCAATGAAAATAATTTTATGGTTGGGGGTCACCACAGCGTGAGGACTGTATTAAAGGGTCGCAGCATTAGGAAGGTTGAGAACCGCTGTTCTAGGCATTTCTGCTTCCCAGCTTGAGAGGGCATCCATGTATTTCCAACAGCAGAATAAAGGCCTCTGAGTTCTGTTTTTACTTTAGCCAAGTCAAATGGAGTCCTGTCATGGACCACTGACCCCTTAGACAAAACTCTTAAAGTTCACACATCATTAAAAACATATCTCATGCTAATTTTAGTTGTTTTTTTTTTTAGTCAATGTGTGCTCCAGGTGTGTTTAGAGGAACATGGTTTTGCTTTTGGGGGGTAGTTTCTTGTTTTTGATTTTTTTTGTTGTTTTTGTTGAGACAGAGTCTCAAGCTGTCGCCCTGGGTAGAGTGCCATGGCATCTCAGCTCACAGCAACTTCCAACTCTTGGGCTCAAGTGATCTTCCTGCCTCAGTTTTCTTTTCTTCTCTTTTCTTTTTCCTAGAGACGGAGTCTCTTTTTTTTTTTAGTAGAAACAGGGTCTCACTCTTTTGCTTAGGCTGGTTTCAAACTCATGAGCTCAAGCTATCCACCCGCCTTGGCCTCCCAGCATGCTAGGATTATAGGCGTGAGCCACTGCGCCTGGCCGGGTTTTTTTTAAATTAATGAACAACGTGATTTCTATGCTGTAATGCAATGAGAATTTAAACTATCCATTTGTTTCACTTTATAATCCATTTAGTAAAGTCGGAGGGGAAAGGAGATAAAACCAAGTGATAAGAGAAAAAGGAGAGAGGGAAACAGGAGACAACAGAAGAAAGAAACCCAGGGGAAGGAGGAAGAAGGGGTGATAGAGAAAAGAAGGAGACGCCGAGATCAGGAGGGGACGGGAGGGCTGTGACGAGAAGGCTTTGCAGGGGCTCAAACATGGGGGCACAAAGAGCCTGCCAACTACCTGGTGATGCCAAGGCCAAGCGCTCAGCCTGAACCCCCTGGGGCCCGGGAACTGCTGCTCAGAGAGGCCTCTCGGCTGGGGTCCAGGTCAAGAGATGCCTCTGACATGTCCTGAGTGAAAGGCAGCAAGCAACTCAGCCACAAAAGCCACTTTGGCAGAGCCGGGCCTTTGCCCTCCAGAGCAAGCAGCAGCGGGCTAAAGAAGGGCCCACCAGTCTCTCTGGCACCTGTTCAAATCCAGCTCCCTCCCACAGCTCACAAACCCGCTCTCATTCCTACCAAGTTGTAGGCTCTGAGCCACTGCTCTTTGTGTAATAGTAGTAACAGCAGCCACCACCATAATTTGTGGAGTATCTACTCTGACCCAGACACGTGCTGGTTTATATAAACTATCTCATTTAATGCTGCAAAATCCCTGCAGAGAGAGAGGCCATTTTAATCCCATTTTACAGAAAACTCTGAATTTCAGAG